ATACAGTACAATAAGTACCACCCTGAATGCATGGTGGAATTCAAACAGAATTCTTAAATACAGCTACTCTCCCTTCAGTCAAACTCCTCTGTGGAACAACCCCATGTTTTTAATAAATAACAAACCTTTCATATTCTCAGCCTGGAAACAGAGAGGAATAACCAGCCTGGCACAGTTGTTCTCTGGTGGCTTGCTCATGACCTTTGATGACATCAAAGAATACAATATACCAGATAATTGTCACTATCAGTATATACAACTCAAAGATGTTCTAAAGAAAACAGTTAATAGTGGAAATCTCTGCAATCACACTCCTCCCCTCTACTTAAAACTACACTCCCTTAAACCTCAGAAAATGTTATCACAAATATATAAACTTATAGCCTCAAAGGACAACACTATCTCACTCCCAACTGAAAAATGGACCTCAGATATAAAAGAAACATGTAATGTCAACTGGCAAAATATATGCAGTGACATCTTCTCTATGTCCAGCAATTCAAAACTCCAGCTAATTCAATATAAAACCCTTCACAGAACATATATCACAGCCTCTAAACTACACCATATGGGATTCAGTCACAGTGATAAATGCCAACATTGTCCAGCTTTAACAGACAACTACTATCATGCTTTCTGGAATTGTCCCCCGACCCAGCAGTTTTGGTCAGAGGTCATGGACAGGCTATCAGAGATTTTGGGCCTTGTCATCCCTTTATGTCCCATTATAGCGCTACTTAATGACCTTTCCTCACTTTCAGCACCCAATCACCTCAAATGCTTTATATTCATATCACTTACCATTGCCAAAAAAGTTATATTGCTAAACTGGAAGGACAGAACCAAAATTTCAATAAAGCATTGGCTTAACCTCCTCATGGATCACTGCAACTTGGAAAGACTCACAGCAAATTTTAAAAATAACACAAAATCATTCAAGGAAACCTGGTCACAATTTTTACAATATATTGAGAGCTGATTTCTCTCTCCAAACTCATCAGGGGAAGGTTAAAACCCCTACATAGGATTTGATAACTACCCATGTTATAATTACATAAAAGGGGCATTACTGCCTTGTTTATTGTTTTGTTAAGTGTCTGTGTTTGTCTGTCCTGTATGTCCAGCTTGTCATTATTATTATTATCATTTATTATTATTATTTTCTCATCCTTTCTCTTTACTTCTTCTGTTTTTTTTCTCTGTTATTTCTGTTCATTGTTTCACTCAAAGCAGGGGGTGGGTCAGAGGGTGGGGGGGTGGTGTTTGGAGGGGTGTTGGGTGGTTGTGGTGCCACATCACCTTATATCTATATGATCATTAATAAACGATGAGTTGTGACATTAATAGCGAAGTGAAAATAATATATATATATATATATATATATATATATATATATATATGTCCCCTGGAAAAGGGGGGGGTGGTGGTGTGGCCAAGGAATGTTGGCCCAGGAATAAAAAAAATAATAATAATAAAAAAAATAAAAAATGAGGACAGTGCCTGATTTTAGTTGTGAAACATGGTGGTGGCAGTATTCAGTAGCAAGAAAGGTTTTCCTAAAGCCAAATGTACTTTATTAGTTCAGAATGCTTCATAAATGATAAAAACTGTTCTAATTATTCAGACTATTTAAATTATTCTGAATTGTATCTCACTACTTCATAATTAGTACTTTTGTGTCTCATAATAATTAGACAGTATCTCATAATTACAACTTTGTGTCTCTTAATAATGAGTTAGTATCATATAATTATGAGTTAGTATTTCATAACAAGATACTAACTTTTATGATACTAAGTTATATTTTTAAGACTCTGATTCCTTATCTCATAATAATGAGTTAGTATCTTGCTACCTTAGAATAATATACTATGTCGTAATTATGACTTAGTATCTTATAATAAATAGTTACTATATTCTATTGAGTTACTATATTATAAATATGACCTAATGTCTTAAAATGAGTTAGTATCTCATAATTATGAAGTAGTCTCTTGTTAGAAGTCATATCTATAATATATAATTATGTGATTCTAAGTCAGTATTATGAGATGATAACTGAATAACAAAATTCTGTAATAGTATCTTTTTTTTAAGCTAACTGTGTTGCACACAGAGGAATTAGACCTCCACATTTAACCCATCCATGCAGTGAAACACCCACATTCATGCACGCTAGTGAACACACACACTAAGGGGCAGTGAGCACACTTGCCCGGAGCGGTGGGCAGCCCTATCCACTGCACCCAGGGAGCAGTTGGGGTTTAGGTGCCTTGCTCAAGGGCACTTCAGTCATGTACTATCGGCTGAGGGGAACGAACCAGCGACCTTCTGGTCACAAGGCTGGTTCCCTAACCTCCAGCCTACAACTGCCCCAATCTCGTAAATATTAGAAATATTTCCATTATTGTGACTTAGTGGCACTTACTTTTATTGGAAATCAACTTCAAGTTATGTTGTGAAACACAAGAATACTCCTGCTGTACACAACCCCAACAACTATTGCTGTTTTTTGAAAATGCTTTGTTATTTTTCGACTATGAAAAATGTACAATCAGGCAACCATCACACATTATTCTGCACCGCTCCCTCCAGGCCTAAATTAACTGCCAACATTTAGTGCCTTTTGTAATAATTAGTGTCTATTCAACCGTTATGCAGCTCAAGAAATGAATGAGATGGATGGACCGTGCTGCGTCTGTTACTTGTGAAGGTTCCTCAAACCTTTAGAAACTCTGAAGCCACAGATGCAACACAGCTTACAGATGAGTGAGGTTCTTCTCCTTTGGGTTTTCCCCTGCTCCAGAACCAAAGCTGAGAGCCCCAGGTCTGGGATCAGTTAGGATAGGCCAGAGTAAACACATGTGATGATCCAGCCTCAGATGGGCCCTGTTTCTGAGCCAGCGGTTATGTAGATATGCTCATCAGAGCCACAGAGGTCACTGAGGTCAGCGTCTATTTCCTGTCTCTCACACACTCCACAGTTTTTTTCGCCTCTCTGCCAGACGTTTGTTGATAAGTTCTATCGGTGCCTCGGAAAAAGCCAAACAAACTGTCCAGTTGGCTGGTAACGGGCCATGACGAAGGAGCATGTGTGCGCACGTGTGTGTGCGTGTCGTGTTGTGCCGTCCTGGGCTTGAGAGGATTTAAAATCTAAAATCTAACTCATTGTCTCTTTGACTATCTGCATTCTTCACTTGTTGAGTCACAGAGTTTAAACCGACATATCGCCATCCAGCCACATGCAGATCATTTATAACCAAAGAACACACTCACACACTCTCACTCACACACACAGACACACAGACACAGACACACACATATATTTTGATGGTCTTCTTTTGTTCCTGAGAGAGTGAGAGGCACAGAGCACACTAATAACACTCAACCAAAGTGCTGTCTTTAACATTCCAAAGTCTGAATTCCACAGATGATCTGATTCCCATTCTTGAACTGTCGCCTAATATTCCATCCCTCCCATATGTCCTCTAGAGTGGGAGGTGTATGCCACAGTAATAATTAATAATAATAATGATTAATAGACAGACAGACAGATAGATAGATAGATAGATAGATAGATAGATAGATAGATAGACAGACAGACAGACAGACAGACAGACAGAAAGATAAATATATGGGGGTGGCGTGTGTCACAGTAAAAATTAATACATAGACAGACAGACCGATAGATAGATAGACAGATGGGGGTGGTGTGTGTCACAGTAAAAATAGATAGATAGATAGATAGATAGATAGATAGATAGATAGATAGATAGATAGATAGATAGATAGATAGATAGATAAGAAAAAGACAGAAAGATAAGAGAAAAAAAATCAGAAAACCCAAACAAAAAGTACAGAATTTACAAGATTCTTACAACCAGCTTAACACTGGTGGTCTATAAATGTGTGAGTGAATATTGTACACATTGGTGAACCAATACAGCACCAGCTGAGGATCACTCACAATGTGCATGTGGTGCTGTGTCCTGCATTGTTTGTGCAGTGTTAATTGGGATAGTGGGTATTTTGTGTGTGTGTGTGTGTGTGTGTGTGTGTGTGTATGTGTGTGTGTGTGCGTGCGCACACGAGTCCCTCTGCATGACCGGCGTGTCAGACTATATAGGCTAAACATGCAGAGTTAGCACCAATAATCAGAACAGTGCAGGAGAGCTGACCCTCTGTCTAGGATGTTCTCAGTAATCTTGGTCAGCTGTTGAGCACAGAGCAGATTACAGTGCTTTTGTGCACATTGTGCTTCAGTGCTTGAAGTACAGTAAACAAAAGAGCCATGTGAAGTGGAGAGGTGGTGAAAGGGTTAAAGTGAAAGAGTTAAAACAGTGCAGAGACCCAAGGGGTGTTTGTGAGATATGACTGCCCTGTTGTTCTCTGTACCACGGTCTTCTCTAATTACTGTCTGTTCTTCACAGCCCCTCACATTCACTCACACAATTAGAGGATAGAGTGTGCCAAGTTCTCTCTCTCTCTCTCTCTCTCTCTCTCTCTCTCTCTCTCACACACACACACACACACACATACACACAAATACACATTCTGTTTTTGTCTTTCCAATAAAGAGAAAAGCCCTTACTCAGCTGCTGGACGCTGTTATGAATTTTCAGCCTGCTCTGCTGACTTCCTGGGAAAGAAAAAAAGAAAGAGAGGGAGAGAGTGAGACAGGGAGATATAAAGAAAGAGTGAGAGAAAGAGAGAAAAGAAGAGAGAGAACGTCAATAAAAAAGAAAAGAAAGAAAGAGAGAGAGAAAATCAGAAAGTGGAAAAAAGGGAGTTAGAAAAGAACAAGGGAAATAAAGAAAGAAGAGATATTAAGAGGAAGAGAAAAAGGGAAAATAAAAAACAAAAGATAAAGACCTGGATAAATAAAAAGGAGAGATAGAGAGTGAGAGATAGAGAGAGAATAAAGAGAGATAATAAAAAGAGAGAAAGAGATGTGAGAGAGCAAGAGAGAGAAGATAGAAAAAAGGCAAAAAAAGACAGAGAGGGAGGTAGAGTGAGAGAGAAAGAAAGAGAGATAAAGAGATTGAGAGAGAGAGTGAGAGAGAGAGAGCAGTCAGGAAGAGAGCCAAGAGTGAAAACAGACCATGGCGCTGTGTGTGTGTGTGTGTGTATGTGTGTGTAGGAGTTTATGCTGGAGCCCCCTCCTCACCACACACACCACAGCTGACACACCTTCTCTCCTCCAAAACCCCCTTTCTCCTCTCATCTTTTACACTTCTCTCTCTCTCAGGATAGAGTGAGCGTTCTCCTCAGAGCAGACTGTTTTTCACCCTGTTTTCTCTGCTCATTTTAAGAGTTGCCAGTTTCCAGGGAGGATTTGCTCTGTTTCACTGCCACTCGTGATTTCAGTGAAAAGAAACTCAAATGGAGAGCTGTTGCTGAGGAGACCTGTGTTTGTATGTGTGTGTGCCTTTCTTTCTTTCTTCTCTCTCCTGTGTTTGTACCATTTCCACTCTGTTTTGGATCTCCTAAACATCCGCCGTGACAGACCCTCACTCAAGGACACATCATACCTCCACTTCAGCGGACAGCGACAAGCATACCGGTACTGTCATTCGTTTGCTTCTGTTTTTCTCTTCATTTCCCCCTCTTACTCTCTTTCTGCCTGTCCTTAAGTCTCTCGCTCTGACCTGATCTGCCCCCCTTTTGTTATTCTCCATCGTTAGAAGCCAAAGCAGTGGGCAGTGTTACAGCTCAGGTTCGGGCAAGTTGGAGCAGTTATCAGTAAGCGGACCCCACAGTGATCATCTGGGTAAATAAACAGGGGCTTACATAGAGGCTTTCAAAACAAAGACCTAATGAAGGTTTTCAACACTGAAAAGTGTCCAAGAATGTTCTAAAATGCACTTCTTGCAGAAAGAAAGTCTTAAATATTATTATAAGTTGCTGTTTTAGATGCTTTAACTCTGAGTCTAAGACAAATAAACTCTTAGTCTTAGCAATAAAGCATGCAACATCACATCAACACAGCTCTGTCCTTCTATCTTTTGGCAGTGATTGTTTTGGCATTGTTTATGATGCACAGATTTACACATCAGGTAAATTCAATGCATCACTTTTTAGTGTTAAATTAATCCAGTTAATGCTTAATAGACATTTATGAAACATAAACCTTATTATCCAGTTAATGCTTTAGTTTGGATCTGCTGACAGGTCCTTAGAGTCTACTGTTGAGCAGTTATGCATCTGCTCAGAGCAAGAGCCATGGAAATGCATCAGTTTTACAGCTGATATGTAGACACATGTTTGTTACTGTGGCATTTAGATGTTTCAAAAGTGTTTTGGAATAATCCAAGACTTATTTGAGCCTGATTACTTGAGCTTTCTAGGTTATTTCTCTGAACAGACTCTCAAATGGATCTGGAACACTAAGCAGATCTAGACTTGCTATTTAACTCCTCAGTTACTGACACTGAACACTGAAAAGTGTCCAAGAATGTTCTAAAATGCACTTCTTGCAGTTAGAAAGTCTTAAATATTATTAGAAGTTGCTTTTTTAGATGCTTCAACTCTGAGACTAAGACAAATTAACTCTTATTCTTAGTAATAAAGCATACAACATCACATCAACTCAGCTCTGTCCTTCTTTCTTTTGGCAATGATTGTTTTGACGTTGTTTATGATGCACATATTTACATATCAGGTAAATTCAATGCATCACTTTTTAGGGTAGAATGAATACAGACAATATTTAATAGTCAGTTATGAAATGTAAACCTTGTTATCCAGTAAATGCTTAAGTTTGGATCTGCTGACAGGTCCTTAGAGTCTACTGTTGAGCAGTTATCCATCTGCTCAGAGCAAGAGCCATAGATGAGTATCAGTTTTACAGCTGATATGTAGACAAATGTTTGTTAGTGTGGCATTTAGATGTTTCAAAAGTGTTTTGGAATAATCTGAGACTTTTTTAGGCCTGATTACTTGAGCTTTCTAGGTTATTTCTCTGAACAGACTCTCAAATGGATCTGGAACACTAAGCAGATTTTCGACTTGCTATTTAACTCCTCAGTCACTGACACTGAACACTGAAAAAGTTTCCAAGAATGTTCTAAAATGCACTTCTTGAAGTAAAAATATTATTAGCAGTTGCTGTTTTGGAGGCTTGAACTCTGAGACTAAGACAAATGAACTCTTATTCTGAGTAATAAAGTAATAAAGTACTGTGCTTTAATCGTTTTCCCATTTTCTGATACTGTAATACTCTGCTGCTCTGCTGGATGTATTACTTGTAAAATGTAACAAAATCATTTTTACTTGATGTTTTTCTACAACCTCTACCTATCCAGTAGAAATAAACAGGCTGTTTTTGTTACTGGGCCTTTAAGACTGACATATGTACATGATCTCTGTTCTGAGAGGCTGCTCTGTGTTGTTCCTCATTCAAAAAGCAGGAGAAACACTCCTTATAACATCAATGTGAGTGGGCGGAGCTAAACTGATGTGAGCTGAATAGCCTGATATACGTAAATGTGTTGGTTTTCTTGACATCACAGAAACAGTTACTTCAAACTGTCTGTTTTTGTGGCTTAGTTTAGTCTGGGGAGTGGACAGTATGTTTTTGAAAGTGACAGTGTTTTTATACCACATCAAATGCAAAGAAAAGTCAATATTCCATAATGCAGGCCTTTTAAGCAAATCATAGAATGGTGAACCTTGTAACTGGCTGATTTGTTTGCCCTGTTATAGAGATATAGAAGCCAGAAGTCTTGCTAGAGCCAAACAGCTACAACATTGGCATTAATAAGAATGAAAGTCTTCTTCACATCTGCATCCACACAAGAATCATATGACTAATACTTTACTTTTTCATACTTAAGTGCATTTAAAAGCAAATATTTTTGTATTGTAACTTAAGATCTAGACTTCTAAGGTTTCTAATTTTACTCGAGTAATATTTTACAAAGGGTACCAGGTGCTGGATTTATACAAATACTGTTCTTTTTCTTGAAAACTGTCCTTAAGACAAATGTTAAGAAGATCCAAAATAAAATTGATCTTAAATGCAATTCATCAGAACATAAGAGGTCTTAAAATATTCTCATAAGAAAATCTTAGTAATTAGAAGTTGCCACTTTAGAAGGTTCCCTCATTAACACTGCCAGACAAGTGTTTATTCTAAGATTAAGAAACTATTTAAGAACACAAAAGTATCAAACAAATGCAAAAGATTTGGTGCCCCTGGTCAAATGATGTTTTAATGATTTTCTGACTGAAAATAAGTTAACACTTCTCTACAAAGAACAAACTGTAAATTTTAATGCACAATGACTGTTTATTTGCTGAATATAACACATTGGAGAAAAAAAGAAAACATAAAACATAGCCTGTGCAAAAGTTATGGCACATTTAATATGTTATGTTCATTTTCTTACAAAATGTCAAACTCAGCAAATAAACAGAAATTGTGCACTAATAAAGAAATAGAAAAAAGTCGTATTTATGTTTGTCCTCTGTAGAGGATGTGTTGTTTTTTTCAAATCAACATGACAGGGGTCGTTCCAACCTTTGCACATGACTGTATATATATTTTAAAAGAAAAACACTTGTTCTTGAAAGACACTACTTATTTAGATGAAGACTAACAATTTATTACAATTTATTCAGATGTTAAACACAATTTATTCAGATGTTTAGGAAGAAGAAGCACTTAAAAAGAATTTGCTTCTTGAGACACCAGTCAGGTCTGTAGTTGACCCCCCTCCTCCTCCTCTGGGGACCATGGAGAGTGAAGGACAAACCCTCTGTTCGCTCCGTCAGCAGAGAGCGCGAGCCAGCCTCCACAGAGTAAAGCCCCACATCATTGGAGACTGTTACTCACACGTAACAAGGGCAGCTGGGAGGCAGAGCACATCAGACAGATAGAGGGAGAGAGAGAGAGAGGGAGACTGAAGCAGAGGCATGCTCACGGTCTGAGAGACATATAGAGGAGTGTAAGCACTGAGAAGTTGGAGGTAAGCCTGGAGGATTGTTATTGCACTTTCTTTGCTGTGTGTGTGTTTTTCTGCTTGTCAGCCTCCTGTGATTTCACGTTCATACTGACATAGAAGTGAGAAATGCTTAACCCCTTATACTACAGGCTTATTACACAGTTATTAGCCTTCAAGCTTGTTATCCAGACTAGTGATGTAATCAGTTAACTTAACTTAAATGTGTGTATCATTTCCACCTGAATATGACATATTATATCATCACAGCTCTGTCCTTCTATCTTTTGGCAATGATTGTTTTGACATTGTTTATTATGCATAGATTTACACATCAGGTAAATTCAATGCATCACTTTTTAGTGTAGAATTAATACAGACAATATTTAATGGTCAGTTATGAAATGTAAACCTTATTATCCAGTAAATGCTTAGGTTTGGATCTGCTGACAGGCCCTTAGAGTCTACTGTTGAGCAGTTATCCATCTGCTCAGAGCAAGAGCCATGGATAAGTGTCAGTTTTACAGCTGACATGTAGACAGATGTTTGTCAGCGTGCCATTCAGATGTGTTTTGGAATAATCAGAGACCTATTTGAGCCTGATTACTTGAGCTTTCTTGCTTTTTTTTCCTCTGAGCAGACTCTGAAATGGATCTGGAACGCTAAGCAGATCCGGACTTGCCATTTAACTCCTCGGTTTCACTCTGTTTCCGCTCTCGGCCTGGCTGAGTCTATCTCTCAGTGAGCGAGAGTTGTGCTTTCTGTTATGCTACCAAGGCTACGTTATCTTATCTTTTTTCAGAGTAAAATTATAACAAGGCATATTGAATGTAAACTCTAATCAGCCTCTAATAAACAGCAATGATCTACCCTTTTACATTCCTTTATATAGTCATAAGGTAGCTTTTTTGGCAACTTTTGTAATGCAGGTATTTGCTGGTGCTGGTTAAATATGTGGGTTGTTATTGTTAGTGAGGCGAGGTAAACGTTGTTGAGGCGAGCATTGTGCTCTGTATGGTGCATTTACAGCATCATTGCACATGTTTCCCTTTCACAGCAGTGTCTGAGAAATTTAAGATGTTTATTCTCTCGCTAAGCGAGTGTGTTTGACAGGCAGTTCAGTCTGCAGACTAGTTTGCGCTGCTTGTGTGTCTGTGTGTGGACACTGTTTTGGTGCTAATGAGTTGTTTGAACAGCTCCTCTTCTTGACTGAGAGGCAGCTTCAAACACTGTTTCTCTGTCCTCAGCATGGGTTAACAGGGTAGACAAGTGGGTGAAAGCAATGTCACATCGAATAAATGTGAAAAAACCCACATGTGGAGAAGAGATGCAAATTTGGGTTTCTCATTGTTTTTTTTACTGTGTTAGCTTCTGTGTTTTTCACAAGCAGCAAAACATCTGGTGCTCTGAAATGTGCAATGTGGTTCTCTTTTTACGCAGATTTTTCCTTGCAAAAGTCTTTTTGTCCATCTTGTTGTTTACTTGTATATCCTGTCCAAGTGGAACAAGGCTGAGTATGTTCTCCCTGCAGTCTGTCCTTGACCAGATGTTCAGCACATGAATGCATCGTCAAATACTGAGCCTCTCCAATTGCCATTAAGCTCTTAAAAATAAAGGTTGC